ATTAGCAGTGACCACTTTTTTGTGCATGTGGAGAGCATCGGCTATAACCTCGTCTTTGAGAGACATGTCTACTCCCATAAATGATAACTTTCCCTTCATTGGAATACCCACAAAAATCTCATATTCCTCGAGTGTTGGAGCTATCTGAAAGTCTTGAAATGTAAAAACTCTCAAGGGAGAATCATAAAACTGAGCCAAAGTGACAAATGCTCGTTGATCCACTTCTTGATTCAGGATATGGATAAGCTTACCATAGTCTCTTCCAAAGTTGATTCTGAACACAACAGGGATACAAGAAACCAGGCCATACAAATCATCCAACTTGGGCTTTCTGAAGCTATATGAGTAGGTATTCTTGGTGTTCAATCACATGACTTCTAAATGTCTGTAATGTAACTCTTAAATTCCCTAGGAACTAAAGAAAATGAATTTCATATATGAATATGAAATGCACATGCAAGGTTCAGGGACCACAAGTATAATTATGAAGTTAATGCACAAGTAATAGGCATCTCTGACTATCGGAACCCCATGGGTAGGCTCTAAAATAGGTGAGTGCCTAGAGTCATGGATTTTCTCAAAGATATTGTCGCCATGACGAAGGCTCGTCAAGACAACAATATCCTTAAAATGATCTCCTCTACGTGAGGTTTTCATATTGTCTCAACGAGGAAGCCTCGCCGTGAGTCTCTACTGCAAAACCACCGAGTTCAAGGTTTCTAAAAAAGGTATCTCAGAGTCATAGATCGAGATTGAAAATATCATTGTCAAAATAACGATACGTTCAAGGGATCTCATCTGATTGATGTGTTTGTGTCAACCCAAGAAGGAGTGACCCTCAGAAGCTAACACTACCAACCACCATGGAAATGGGTTAAAAGGTTCTTAGAGTTATCAATTAAGGCTTGAAAAAATTATTGCCACGATGAAGGCTCACCACGACAATAACATTTTCAAGGAAATCAACTTTAAGCAAGGTTTCGTATCGTCCTCACAAGGAAGACTCCTCATGGGCCTCCACTACACAACCACTATCCTAATCCTATGTTTTTTCTCAGACTCAGGTAGGGAGCCTATCTCAGAAAGCCAATAACCAGAGAAACCAAACAGTATCACAAGATGATAATAGGATAAACAATAAAGTAAGCAAGCAAGTAGATAATAAATAATCGTACAAGCAAACAATAACAGAACACAAACAAATGAAAGTAACTTTCATGAATCAAATCAAGTTAGGATTGACTCTCTCTTGCATGGAGCAATAATATTTCGATCCCCAGTAGAGTCGCCAGCTGTCACACCTTGAAAAATGATACGACCTTCACGATGGACGCTAAAAAAACAAAGTCGCCACCGAATTTTATTCATCCCAAGAGGGAATAGAAAATATCGATAAAACCGTTTGAGAAAGAACATGGTCATCGTAACCACATTCTAGGTTCGGGAGTCGGTTACATGAGGGGAAGGTATTAGGACCCCCTCACGTCTGTTGTACTCAATGGGAATCTCTTAATTTAATTCGCGGTTAATGTTAGCCAAGCTTGTTTGTTTTCTTCTAAGGGAAAGATACGAAAAGGTAAGAGAAAAAAGCTTTGTTTGCTAAAGGGAGAATGTGTGGTTTTTTATTAAGATGCTCGCCAAGGATTGAGGCCTTTGTGCCTACATATCTTCCCTTATAAAAAGTGAAGAATCAGAGCGTTCGTAGTTCGTGGGACTAAGGTTGGTTGGTTTATTTTATCAAACGGATGTTTAGTCTGCGCTCTAAACGTTAAACATTAGCTTGTATGCTCGCAGAGGGAGGTTTAAGCGTTTAATTTTGTTTGTGCATTAGAGGGAAATAACATCGTTCTTTTAAGAAAAAGAGTTTTGATCGCATAGAGGCGAGGAGTTGATTTAATGTGTTGATATTTTATTTGGATGACAATTACTTGAATGCTTAAGAAAGGCTCGTCGGGCACAAATAATCGAGAGAGTGAATCGAACACTTGACTCTCTCTCTCTCTTTTTCAACCTTAATTGTGAAAGGGATATGAGTTAAAGTATCTTAAATGGATGACAATTACTTGAAGCTTAAGAAAGCCTCCTCGGGCCCAAGTAATCGGGAGAGTGAATCGAAGACTCGACTCTCTCTCTCTTTTTCATTTAAGTGATTAAGAAAATAATTTTGATTTAGTTTATTATAAAAGGTTGTATGTGAAATGTATTATAAATCTTTTAGAGAGGACGATTATTCGGGTGTGAAGAAGACTCCCCACATTTAAACAATCGAAGAGAGAACTCGAAGACTCCAGTCCAACCCTCTTTTCATCTTTTATTGAAAAATGTTTTAGAGTTATTAAGTGTTTTAATTTTATTTGAAGAAAATACTCGACATGGATCAAGGTTTAAATTTGCGTTCAAAATGATTACAGGTTTGAACTAAATGGTAAGGAGGTCTTAATCGTGCAGGGTAAGGTCGATGGCGATGCACAAGGCGATCGACTTACAGGAGTTGGGGTAGGGCTTGATATATGGATCAAGTATGCTTTAGGGTTTTGGAATTAATATGCAAGAACAAAATATGGATCAAGTATGCTTTAGGGTTTTAATCGCGTGTACTAGCAAAGTGCGCTAGTCTTCTAAACGACCAACTAGAAATAATTGATCGAATAGGTTACACTGTAAGGAAGCCCAGGAGTAAGCTATGAATGTTGTGTATGGTGATGAAAAAAGGTTGATGGCGATGCTTAAAAGCAATCGACTTACAAGGGTGAAAAATGGCTCGACGTTGATCGAGAATTTATTTTGAAAAGGACTTGAATATGTGTGAAGCAGAGATTAGTATGACATTATGAGTACAAGACATGATCAAGGATATAATCAAGATAATTGATTAGAGATCACACACTAAACCACACAAAAATTATACACAAATTTTTTTAATTAAACTAAATATGAATACTTATTAAAATTAATTAGGATTTTAATTAATTAATAATAAGTAAATATATTTAATAAAATTAATAATAAATTAAAAAATTTACCATTTTATAAATATACATTGAAATAAAAGTACAAAAAAAGAAATAAAAGAAAGACTAGAACAAATAATAAAAAAAAATAAAAAAAGGAAAAAAAAAACTTAATGGGCCTGTTTCAAAGAGAAATGGATGGTGCTATCAGAAAAACATAGGCCCAAGAAAGATAGCCCGGGCGCAGGATCCAACGTGGCGCAGGTCCATGAGACTTGGTACGCATCCACGACCCTGACCATCAGATCGGATGATCTGACTTAGTCAAATGATCAGGTGGTCATAAGGGTTAGGGTGCATGGTTAGCATCTAAGATTGGATGCGCAGGATAGAGAACCAAGAGGAACAGTGGTCGGCGATACATTTCCAAAGCGGTGACACATGTCACCGCCACCAAATCAACATCAGACATTAGTCAAAACATAGGCAAGCTGGGTGAGAAACAAGTTTTCTCTCATTTTTTAAAACATCTTAACAAAAAGAGAATGACAAGCGTTGAAACCACTCAAGCCTTCTCAAGAGTTTCCTTATGGATACCATCACCCTTCACCAGAGAAGGCCGTCGGCCAACGGCGGCGTCGTCTTCTTCTCCGCCGACCAAACACCACCATTGTCAAAGCTTAATACACCAACCCCCCTCTATTTTTGGCTCTTAACCCTAATCTGACATCCGTTTTCTCAAAGCCCTCACACAAAAAAAAGCCAAATCGATTTCCCCCAATCTAAAACCTAAACTAAAGAACAAAATGACAAGCACGGATTTGCAAAGTTTTCTGCAGCAAAAGATAGGGAACGCAACAACAAAGCGAAATCAACTCTAGAAAGATTGAAAGCATGAAGGAGACTAACCCTTGAACATCACAGGTTCAGGTAATGGTCGATCTACACCTCTCTTGTTGCTTCTTTGAGAACTGCTTCTTAGTTTGTTTAGAGTTTGAGTATGAAAATTTAGGGTTTTCTTTGTGTGTAGGCCTAGGGTTTTTTTGTTTGCTCTCTGAAATGACCCTTTATATTGAAATGAATTAAGTTTAGCAGACAAAGTTTTGTAGAGTCCTGAAATCCTCTACATTATATGGTTTAGGTTTGGTCTGCTACCACTTTGTCTTGTTCCTATTGTTGTGTTAGAGCTAGTGTACCCTGAATTTTGCTGCTGCTCTTATTTTCCCTTTTTGTTACTCTGAACCTGTGTGGTCTCTATTTTCTCTTTTAGCATTGCTTCTGACTTTGGATAAGCTTATGGATGTGTGTATGTTCAAAAAACATGCATGAAAATAAGCATGTATACTATGGGAAACTTAAATTGGTCTTATAATTTGGATTAAATTACGATCATGTTTAGGAATTGGATAGGCCTTTCGATAAATATGATTTGAATTTGGTGAATTGAATGTGAAACATGACAAAAATTGGTTTTGATGGTATGACTTGAATCTTGATGTAATATCATGAATTGGTGTAATGTGACTTGAGTTGTTTTTCTTTTGAGTTGTTTTTCTTTTGAGTTGAACTTGAAATGTGATAAGAATCGGTTTATGACCTGTAGGTTGGAAATGTTTGAATTATTTTAACTTAACAAGGTGAAAAATGACTTGGTGTTTATGTTTTGAATGGTGACACTGTTTTGAACTTTGAGAGTTGAATGTTGTTTTGGATATGATTTTGTCTTTGGTTACGATTTAGGTTTTTGGTTATGAAATGAATTGGTTAGGTTTGTGGCATGACTTGAAACTTGGCTTATGACATGATTTTAGAATTATTTGTATTGTATGTGACATAAATTGAACTTGGAGTGTTGTTGTGGCATGGCTTGCTTAGGATGAATGAACGCGGATGTGATGAACTTTGAGTTTAACATGATGGATTATGAATGGGTCTTGTTCTTTGCTTTGGAACTGTTTTGAAAACAAGGGTTGGAATTGATCATGAAAAGCAACTACCATGTTTGAAATCTTTATTGCAACATATGTTTGTTAGCTTGATAGTGGTAGGATGATGAGAGTTAGCATGGCTTGGCAAAAGCTGGTCATGAGGTGAATAAAAAATATTACTAGTAGCTACAATTTTTTATGTAACTTCTTGCTTAAGTGTAATGACCTTGAAAATTTTTCCTTTTGTTGCAGTGATTTGTTTAAAGGAATTAGTTGCAAATTTGGTCACAATTATCCTAACTTTTGGGGATTTTTGCTCATCAAGGGATTGCAGCTATGCAAACAAGAGAATCTATATGGTATGTTCTGCCAACAAATTCATTGTGGTAACCTGCTATTTAAATGTTCCAAACCTGCCATGAGTTACTTAGATGTTAGACAACTAAGTTAGTAATGAACTACTGTTATGGTTTATGTTCAACTGGTCACGGGCTGCTAGGCTATGTGTGATGCAGTCATGATATGTTTATATTGTGAAGTTAATGTGATGATAATTATCTGCTAAGAAAAAAACAATGATGTTTGCTGCTAACTGATGTGGTTATGGTATTCTACAGGTCTTGGAAAGTATGTTCCCAAGTGGTATCTAAAATCCGACCTTCTCTCATGAAAGGTATAGATTCAAAGCCTTCGAATTTTGACATCATCATCAATATTGACGGCAAGAAGATAAGAAAAGCTTCAATGCAATACCAAGTAAAAAATCCCGCATGAACGACTTAATGAAGGGGAACCTAACGTGCGGCTTCAGCCATGGTGCTACCTTCTGTATTCGCAAGAGCTTGTACTACCACACTGATTTGGTGATTGATCAATTATGGACCCCATGACTTTATTTATTTGGAATGTAATTTGTATGAGTGTATTGTGCTACTATTACTGCGTTTTGTAATACAATTAGGCTTGGACTTGTCCCTTTTTTTTACATGCTTGTTTGAACTCAAATCACTTCAAGATATTTTAATGGTGTGTTTAGCCAAGATAAATCCAAGTGTTAACATGATTAGTTTGCATGATTCATTTGATTTGTTCAAGACTAGCTTGGTGAACTTATAGACATGGTTAGCTTGATAGAATCCTTTGAAACCTTATCAATCGTATGAACTTGGACTAACTAGCATTGCTTAACCAAAAAAAAGTGTAACGCATAAATTTGAATTCCAACAAGATCAACACACTCAAAATCCCTGGACATCACATTTGAAACTCTTCACTAAAACTAACCTTAAGAGAATGAAATAACATGATTCCATGTTAAGAATACTTAAGAGCAATTGAAAATTTAATGAACGTCCTGCTTTCCACTTACACAATGATGAACTAAAAATGTAGATCTTTGAGTCTTCTGTGACATCCATTATGGACCAAAATGGCCATACTTTGGGGTGACCAATGCATGAACCTCTCTTTGCTCACTCCTATAACCCTAAGTTGCAGAGACACCAAGGATTAAACACCAAGACAAATGGGCAAGATGAAATCCTTGAGAAATCAATTATAGAGAAATGTTAATCTCCATCCTTTAGGTTTTTTTTTTGAATGACCACGCCAGTAAGTTAAAGGTCAAGAATAACCACGCCAGTAAGTTAAAGGTCAAGTGATATGCCAACGACATGATGTATAGAAAATGAGGATGCTATGGTGAAAATGAGGGTGTGATAGTTGCCTCTATTTAATCTTCTTGGACCTGAAGGTGAGAGTAATAGAGGTTCTCTTACAGTTGAGGTACATGGGGATTAAATATTAAAAATACCCAGAGTTTTCAGCCGAAGAGGTGTGGAAAGAATGTAGCGAGTCAATTTGATGGTTTGGGACAGGGTATTCTGTCATTTGAAAAAAGGTAGGTGGTTATGAGGGAGATGATATGCTTGAGATGCTATGTGGAATGAGCATAAGTGCTTAGCCAGTCTTGGAATGGGATGTCTCTTGTAGAATTCCAAAAGGATGTGGTAGTGATATATCTACAATCTAAAACTTTTTCTGCAAAAGGCAGAGAGACGCCTCATGATAGACAATTGTAATCTGGTTGGGAGATGATAAGGTTTTCCGCTACAAAAGGTAGAGGATACTTGCAAAAGGCAAGGAAAAAAGGTATATTCCTCCTGCAAAAGGCAGAAAGGACTCCTAAAAAAGGTTAGGAGAAATATTCTTTCTACAAAAGGTAGAGAGGACTCCAGAACAAAAGGTTTGGAGAAAGATGTTCCTTATGCAAAAGGCAGAGAGGACTCCTGAACAAACGGTTAGGAGAAATATTCCTTCTACAAAAGATAGAGAGGACTCCAGAACAAAAGGTTTGGAGACATGATAACTCCTTCTACAACAGGTAGAGGAGACTCCCTCAGAAGAAGGAGATTATACTTTCTTGCACAAAAGGCAGAAAGGACTCCTGAACAAAAGATTAGGAGAAAAATTCCTTCTACAAAAGGTAGAGAAGACTCTAGAACAAAAGTTTTGGAGAAAGATGTTCCTTCTGCAAAAGGCAGAAAGGACTCCTGAATAAAAGTTTAGGAGAAATATTCCTTCTACAAAAGGTAGAGAGGACTCTAGAATAAAAGGTTTGGAGACATGATAACTCTTTCTACAACAGGTAGAGGATATTCCCTCGAGAGAAGACAATTGTATTTCCTTTTGGAAAAAGCAGAAAGGACTCCAGAACAAAAGGTTTAGAGAAATATTCCTTCTGTAAAAGGTAGATAGGACTCCTGAAGAAAAAGTTAGAAGAGAAATATTACTTCTACAAAAGGTAGAGAGGATATTTGCAAAAGTCAAGGAAAAAAGGTATATTCCTCCTGCAAAAGGCAGAAAGGACTCCTGAACAAAAGGTTAGGAGAAATATCCCTTCTACAAAAGGTAGAGAGGACTCCAGAACAAAAGGTTTGGAGAAAGATGTTCCTTCTGCAAAAGGCAGAGAGGACTCATGCACAAAAGGTTAGGAGAAATATTCCTTCTATAAAATGTAGATAAAACTTCAGAACAAAAGGTTTGGAGACATGATAACTCCTTCTACAACAGGTAGAGGAGACTCCCTCGGGAGAAGACGATCGTACTTTCTTCTGCAAAAGGCATAAAGGACTCCTGAACAAAAGATTTGGAGAAACATTCCTTCTATAAAAGGTAGAGAGGACTCTAGAACAAAAGGTTTAGAGAAAGATGCTCCTTCTACAAAAGGTAGAGAGGATATTCATATAAGGTAAGTTGAATCCATTAAGAAAGACAAGGAGAAGATACTTTATGGAAAAGACACAGAAAGACTTACAAAAGATAAGTTGAAGAGATCTTGTGTAAAAGGTACAGAAGGAGTTACAAATAGTAACGAAGGGATAAACACCCTGAAATAATCCTGACAGGATATCCACAAGAAATTTACGTCCTCGAGAATGACTGGCAAAATGTGCATGTAATGATGCAGAGTGTATGCAAGATGTTGTGGATATGAGGATAAGTGAGTTTGAGTGGTGGTTATGCCAAGTATGGTTGGGATTTGGTTTGGGTGCCAAGCAAGGTTCGACTTTGGGTTGGATGGGGAATGAGTTTAACTTGTCGACACCTCTACTTCATGATGCAATGAGGTTTTGGATATGCTAGAGCTACAAGTTGTCTTGTACCAGTTCACCCTGGGCTAGATGGCTTTTGTCTTGGCCAAGTCACTTTGTGATTTCAATGGTGTTTGCATGTTACTCAGGGATCATGGTTAACCTTTAGACACCCTAAAAGAAAGAATAATCTCGTGTTTTATTTCCACACCAATATTATTTCCCTAAAATTTCAAATGCATTGCTTATCACAAATAAAACAAGTTTTGCAAACATGAGGTAAGAATTAAAAGGGAGAGAAAACTTTGATAAAAATAATCTTTATTGATGAAGACCCGTAAATAGGCAAATTACAAGAGGAGGCAATTCCTAAAAGAGGTAATTGCTTTGAAAGAAAATGGATAAAAATAGCAATGGCAATGTTGAAATTGGTTTTCATTGATTTTTAATTTTGCTATGATCCATATGTCTCTGAAGACTCTTATGCCTTTCTTTTGAGTGCAATGATTGCATTGATCCTTCCCGTTTGGGGTTTTCGTGATCAAGGAGAAAAATTCACAAGTTCTCACAGAGTGCAGCTTTTGCCTTATGAATCCCTAACTTTTGCCTAGACCGCCCTTTCGAGTTTTCAGTCTACTGGGATACCCTTTGCAGGTTTTTAACTTAGCGGGTTATTTCTTTTATTTTTTGTCCCTAACATTTGTCTGGACCTTCTCTTTTTACATGGTCCACCAGGACACTCATTTTTTTTTTGTGGATTTTCTTTTTGGTCCACCTGGTCTATCTTTATGTATAATATTTTTTAACTGCATCTGCATTCACAGGGGATGGAAGATCCTCGTTGTCCATAGTCAAGAGAATCAAGGCTCCACCGGAGAAGACCTTTCTCACCACATATGGACCTTCATAATTCGGTGCCCAGTTTCCTCTTGGATCGGTCTGAATTGGTTGAATTTTTCTCAAGATCAAATCTCCTGCTTCAATATGTCGAGGGCGAACTTTCTTGTCAAAGACTCTCTTCAACCGCTTTTAGTATAGCTAGCCATGACAGATGGTCGTCATGCGCTTCTCATCAATGAGATTGAGCTGGTCGAGTCTTGCTTGTATCCATTCAGCTTCGTCTAGCTTGACGTCTGTTAAAATCCTCAAGGAAGGAATCTCTACTTCAATGGGAAACACTAATTTCATTCCATAGACGAGAGACAAAGGGGTTTCCCCATTGAAAGTGCGCACTAAAGTGCAGTAGCCATGCAAAGCAATTGGCAACATCTCATGCCAGTCCTTATACGTCTTCACCATTTTCTGGACAATCTTTTTTATGTTCTTATTTGCCGCCTCAACAACTCCATACATCTTTGAACGATATGGTGTTGAATTATGGTGCTCAGTCTTGAAGCTTTCACACAAATCTTTCATCATTTTGTTGTTGAGGTTCGAACCATTATCAGCAATGATTTTATTTGGAACTCCATATCAACAGATCATCTCTTTCTTAATGAAATGAGAAACCACTTGCATGGTGATATTGGCATAAGATATGGCTTCCACCCATTTAGTGAAATAGTCAATGGCCACTAAGATGAAGTGGTGTCCGCTGGAAGCAGTGGGCTCGATACATCCAATCACATCTATGCCCCACATGGAAAATGGCCAAGGAGATGTCAGCATATTTAGAGGAAGTGGTGAAACATGTATCTTATCTATGTAGAGCTGGAATTTATGACATGTTTGTATGTGGCGGTGACAATCGGTTTCCATTGTCATCCAGTAGTAACCCGCCCTCAAGATCTTTTTGACCATTGTGTGCCAGCTAGCATGTATCTTGAAAGACCCTTCATGAACTTCATTTATGATTCAGTCTGCTTCGTGTCTATTCATGCATCTGAGCAAGACTGAGTCATAATTCCTCTTGTAGAGCACATCCCTGCTTAAGAAGAATTTTGATGAAAGCTTCCTTAAGTACTTATTATCAGTGATGGTGATGTTCTCTGGATACTCTTGTTTTTCTAGATACCGCTTGATATCATAGAACCAAGGATGATCATCAGTTTCAGTTCTTTTACATCAGCTGCCAAAC